CTCATTCATGCCTATTTGGACTAGCCTATTTAGGGATGATTCTAAAAATACACTGTAAGTTCCTTAATAATTATTTATTGGACAGAAATTATTTTTAAATATTCATTTCTCTATAATTTTATCGAAGGCACTAGGCATAAACGCTCAATTGTAAATGCAACCTCTTTTTTTTTTTTAAGTCTGACTAGAAATTTTTTTTACTATACTTTTTTTATTCCAAGACAAAAGTTTTAAGCTTGTTGATTTATAAATAAGTTTAAATTCTGTAGATATCCTAAGCACATTTTCATACACTGTATGAAAAAAATTACGGTTGAAAGTACTGGCACTCAAGAAACCGGTATGGGAAAAAAAGTCTGATATACCATAATTTTTACAGTAATAATTACCGTATAATCGAGTGATTTTCGGGTGATCGTAATTCGAGTGATTTTACGGTAATTATTACTGTAAAAATTATGGTATAACATTTACGGTAAAATTGATTCTACGGATGATGCACCCAAACTGCCGGTACTTTATACTCTAATTTCATTCGGAATTTCTTTACAGTGTAGTACTTATATAAATTTATATAATATCAAATAGTTTTAGATTTTGATGGTTTTTTAACTGTGTAAAAATATTGTAATACAGCAATTTTTCATCGATCCCAACATAATTTCTCAACCTTCTCAAATAAAACAAAAGCTTTTATACAAGATATTTCAAAATATTTTCCTAGTTGACTTCACGACATTTAATGATAACACAAAATAATATTGGAAAACTGCGATCAAATACTTTTTATATTAGATTAGGATTTTTCACAGAAGAATGGGAAAAAATAGTTCATTTCCACGTTTCTGAAATTATTAGAGAATGAATTAGATGATAGAAAGTTTTAATGTTTTGTCTATTTATGGTGAAAAAATATTTTCTTATAAAATATTTCCTTCGACTAGCCGAACATTCCACCAACTAAAAAAGAGAAGCAAATGTTAAGAACGACAAAAAGCCATTAACTTTAAAGAAAAAAATAGCACTATCTAATAAAAATTTGAAGTATAGAGTAATAGAAACTTTATTTCAATAAAAGTGGATTTTTATTACCCAGACTTCTCATTTTCTTGACAGTTATTTAATTTGATTAGTTGTGTATTTCGCTTCAAAATCGACGAAATGTTTTATTACCCCATTTCAAAGCAAAAGTCGCAAATTATTTTTGAATCTTCTAATGAGTTAGAGTGATAAATATTTTCTTAAAATAGATTTCCATTTATATTTTAAGCTTTAATTTACTTATTTTTTTTTAGTAAAAATGTGATATATTTCTGTCATTCAAATTTAGAAAGTGTTATAAAATAATGAAAATCGCTATATATTATTTAGCTTTACTGCTAATGGAAAGCCTGATTGTTTAACTAGTTTTCTCTATTTTAATTACTTTTTATCATTTTCCACAACAGAGCAAGCTATGTATCCCTAGATTTTTATTGCCTGTTGAATTTTCTCCCCTCTTTTAACTTTTGTTAACAATGCTCTAACACTTAATAAGTTTTTGAAATAAGACTTCTACAATAGAAAAAAGTTCTGGTAAAATTACCGCACTGTCTGGCAATGAAACTTCTGATTAAAAAAAAAGCATACTTTGGTTAATAAAAGCAAAATATACAGTATTTAAACCATTCATTTGGTAATTTTTCCGTTCATATGGTAACGGTTTACCGAAAATTTTGGTTTCAATATTATAGTTCTTATTACCGCAGGTTTAGTAAAAAACACAGAACTGAAAAATAAATTTAACCGAATAAATGTTTTTTTAACTATGTTCTGAAATATGATAAAACTACAAAATTTTACCTCGTTTACCAAATCTTATCACGAATTATAAAACCATACTTTATTGTTAATTTTACCGAAGTAATTACCAAAGCGCTTTTTTAAAAATTATCGAAATTTTAAAAAGGCTACGAATTTGAGCGTTATCAACTACACCCTGACTAAGTAAGCTTTCTCAATTTATACTTTGGCTGGTAATCAAAACACATAATTTGAGAACTCGGGAAGGTTTTATTGATTCTCACTAGGCAATTTTCAACTACAGGATATGATTAGAATGAAAATCGTTGATATTCGGGGCGTTTTGAGCACAAGGGAATTAAACAACATTAACAAAGTGTGAGAAAATAGGCATCAACATTTTATGGAATACTTATTACGAGTTTTGCATTTAATGGGAGATTACCATTCCAACACCATAAAAATAGTTACATATAAATTAATTGTCTAGAAATTTCACAGTTCCTGAAAACAAAGTATTAAGCAAAAAATATCTATAAGTTTACTTTAACTCACATATTTTGCCGACTACATCTTAGGTTGTATTAAGTTCATTTATTGGGAGATTAATTTGCATTTAATGGGAGATTACTATTTCAACACCATAAAAATAGTTACATATGAATTAATTGTTGATTAGAAGTTTCAAAGTTACCATTTCAACACCATAAAAATATTTACATATGAATTATCGATTAGAAGTTTCACTGTTCTTGAAAACAAAATATTAAGCAAAAAATATCCAAAAGTAGACTTTTCCTCACATATACTGAACACCATATTTAACAGACTACATCTTAGATTGTTATTAATAGCAGAAGAGAAGGTGCAATAATAAAGGAATAATATCCTTATTTAAAATCAGAAGGGTCAGAAAATGAAAAGAAAATTAAGGTGAATAGTATTAAAAGGAGGATAAAAAAGAAATAAATAATGCACAATCTTCAAGAAGAAATAAGTAATGCACATCTTCAAGAAGAAAAAAATTTTGGTAAAATTACCGTACTGTATGGTAATGATTATTCTGCTTAAAACAAAAAATAAAAACATAATTTTGGTTTTATAAACCAAAATATAGTATTTAAACAATTCATTTGATATTTTTCTACGCATAATATTTTGTTTTCATCAAAAATTCTATTTCTCAAAATTATAGTTCGTATTACCACACAGTTGGTAAAAAATATTCATTAAAATACTCTCTCATTAAAATGTATAGATTCAAAACTAACTTTAACATTTGCGTTTACAACAAGAAAAGTGAAATATTATACTTTCAGACAAAATTTGGGACCGTTAAAAAAAAAAAAGAAAAAAAAAAAAACTTTTCAAAACCTTAACCGACCTTTACAAAATCGCGAAATCGGATCTTTCCCATTTTTTTTACTTTTTCATTTTGAAAATGGACACTTCACTCAACTCTTCTTTTGAAAAATGCATACGACGACTCCTTTCTTTCATAATTTTACGATGACGCCTTTTTTTCATAATTTCAAAACAAAAACTCCGTGTAAGACAAAGCTTTTGTGTTTTTTTTCTTCACAAAACCAGGACACACACATATTTACACACATTCGCAATCAAAACAAATTTACACACATTTGCTAAAATAGGGCTAGATAGAATCAAAGAATTTACATAGGAGGAATACAAAAAATTTGTATATGGTAGAATGAATCCCATTTTACAATATTAGATTAAGTAAATTATGAGTAGATTTTTTTCACAAAAACAGGATCTTTCAAAAAAAAATAAATAAATAAGTAATTCAAAAACTTAATTAAATAAAAATTTCAAATGTTTTGGTCACTTCGATTAATTAATTTAATATTGATAAAATTGCGAGTCGCTCATTTCTTTTTCGAAATTTGTTGGAATACAAATACATGGTTAATTTTAACTTTTAACATTCTAAATAAATGAATAAAAATTATTCGATTAAGTACACATTTTCCTTCCAAACAACAATTTTTTAAATAGGTATAAAGAACTTAATGATTAGCATATGCTAAAAATAAATAGAATAAAACAATAATTTATTCAAATAATTAATCTGATAAATAATTATAAAAGCAGTGGTAATGTTTAAAAAGAATAAGCTTCCAATTCAAACTATACTGATAATACGAAATAAAACATTATTCGAGACATGTTTTAAAATGTCTCGATATGTTAAAACATTTTCGCAAGTTTTGTCTAGCATTATTAAACTAGAAAAGAGTTTTCTTGGTCACTAAAATAATATAACTTGAAACAGGAAATACATTAAAAAAAACTTCTTTAAAACAAAATATTAAGCATGATTAGCACTAATCTAATAAAAATTAAGCCCGAGTTGTAAAAATCTAGCCCGGATTTCGTTATTATTCACTTCAATCAGAAAAAACACGTCACAAAGAAAATGTTCGCCTCAGTCGCCAAAATTTTAAAAGAGAATCCCATTCTACATAAAAATAAATAAAAACCGATAGCGACCTTTATTTACAATTCAAACATAGATTAATCAAAAGTTTCAGAATGTTTACTTTTGAAAAATTCTTCTGTTTATATATGAATTTTCAAAGTAAATATTAATTCAATTCATTCATTAGATCAGAAAAAATTGAAAAATGATTCTGTATAAATTTAAATGCCTATTATTATTTAAACTTAGTCATTGAAAATATATTAAATATTTGATAAGTCAACATAAAAATTTACAAAAAATTTTAATGTAGGTGCTACAATATTTTATAATAATTTAAATGTAAGTTTTATTTTTTACTCTAAATGCTTTTTCAATAAAGTTTGAAAAAGAGCAATAACTTAGTATTATATATGTATTGATAAAAAATTATTTTTTTCTGATTGCTGGGAAATTAATTTTTCGAATAACAATTAAATTTTTATCTAAATTAAATACTTCATCATCTTTTATGTTCAACAGAAATCAAAACGGTACAAAATTGACATTCTTAGTTACTGTCAAAATCAATAACTACGAATATCAATTTTAATAAAGGTCCCTATTGTATCTTCTTAGATGTGTGGCGGAATGCGTGCGATGGAGTAACTATGACAAACTCAATAGAATGTCTAACGTTCTTATAAATAACTCACACCATAATAAATAACAAGATCGATCCGACATTCGGAACTAGGATCGGGATCTTTTTACTACAAATTTCACGCAATCTTACTTTTGAAATAGCGATGAAAGAGAAACAATCCTTATGTTTTTCTTTTAAGTTTCCATCGGAGAATGTAAGATGCAATCTCTTTTTTTATTTCCCAGCCTGCAGCTTTGACCATCAAACATTCGAAAAGCCTTCAATAAATTTGTTTTAAACACACTCATATTTTAAAGTTTGACTGAAAAGTCAAATATCATAAAGGTTCAATGATTTATTGTTGGGAAAAAAAATGACAAGAAAAATAATGTGACTCACCGCTTTCAGACGATTCTTCAACATTTTTTGGAATATGCCAATGTTTGATAACTGGGACGCCGTCTGCAGAGATTTGAGAAAGCGCCATCTATTGACGTCGCCGGTACAAATTAAGAAATTACGAAAATTAGGAAAGAGACACTTTAAAATCGCTTTCCCCGTAATTTCATAAACCGAAAAATTAATTGAAAAGTTCAGTTTAATGAGCAAGGGCTTTATAAAATACTCCAATTTTAATGATTCTAGCATCATTATAACTCCGATAAAAAAGTAATTTCAACATAAAGTTACCTTTTACCGAGCGAAATACTTTCTTTTTTTTTTTTTTAAAGAAGCAAAAGAAAATATAAAAGTAAAACAATTTTTAGCGACCAAATTTCAAGAATTTAATTGCATCGTCAAGAGTATCTTTGTAGATTGATTTAATGAAGAGAATATTAAACTTTCCTCCCAATTTTATTAGTAATCAGAGTTGTTGAAACTAGAAATTTTGGAACTAAACTTAATTTATGAAAATTAATTTAATTTGCAAGATAATATATAGTTTTCAACAAAATCGTGCAAAACCTTTATTTGTTTAAAATAAATTTGTTTCGAGTTTAATGAAAATTAATTGTGGCTTTTTTATTTATGTATTTTTTTAGTGAATTTTTGAAATTATTTTTTACTAGAAATACAAAATGTTTTGACTATTTTTACTATTTTTAAGTTTATGTCAATGAAGTGATAGGAAACAGGTTCTCCCATTTGGTTCGAACTGTCGTGAGCAAAAATAGACTTCTTTCAAATCTTTATTTTTTACGTTAGTTATCGAACTGCAATACACTGATCATATTGAAATTTCGCACACTTTCGTAAAAAATCGTTTCGTTTCGATTATTTTATACAGAATTTCTTTATTTATTTTTTCTAAAATTACAATTTATTTTATAAGGCAACACATGGGCCTTATTTTACTGAAAATTGTACATTTTTGCATTCTAATCTGCCAAAATTTTAAAGAAGAAAACAAATAAAAATAATTTTTGAATTTTATTGAGAGAGAGATTTTACGTCGTATAATGCAGAAGAAAAAAAAAACAAAGTGAATGTGGTGCTAAACTGCCAGTAAGAGCATATTAAATACTTTTTTGTTTTAAGAACTGTAATAACAGAGAGTTAAGCACACATATTCATTATTATAAGAAATCGTTTGATGAAATATAAATTTAAAAAAGATATCGTTTTCTATTAACAGACAAAATTAAATTGTATCACATTGAAAAATATCTGTTATACTTAATTTAAATCGCATGCAACAAGTCTGAACTTAATCTGAAACTTGAGGTAAGGAATCATTAGTGATTTTTTAAACTCATTTTCTAATATGAATTCCAAAAAGAGTTAATTAATCCATTTATAGAATATAGTTTTTTAAAAATTACAAAATAAATAAATAAATAATGTAATGGAAAAACTTACAAGGAGCCACACAGTAAATTATTCTTTTTGTCGAGAAAAAAAAATAAACAAGAAATTATGAAGAAAATTAATCGATGCAATATAATTTTTTTTTCGAAACACAAAGAAGAAATACAGGTAACTATTTTAAAAAATAACTATATTTTTAATTGCTCATGCTCATCCAAAGAATCATCTTGTATTTTAAATTATTGTACAAAAAAATTAAAAATAAGGATCATTTAGTTTCGATTTTGTATTAATTTTTCTATTCTAATAAACAAGTTCAGCATGGAAATAAGCAAATGAATATTTAAGCTTCTTTTAATATTTTAAACATTTTTTTATACATAATTAGGTGATAAAAATCGATAACTTTAAAAAAAAAGTAAAATATATTTTTCATACTATTTGCTCATGATTTTTCAAGCTAATCTATTGATATCTATACTATTCATTTATAATGATAATATTTATAATATTCATAGATATTTATAATATTCCTTCAAGATGTCTAGAATATTTATTTATCAAATTTTTTTTGCTATTAAATAAACATTACTTTAAAATGAAGTTATTACTTTTTATCGTTATAAATTAAAGATCTATGCATTTTTACTTGGCGCAATTACAGGGAACACTTTACATTCACAAAACATGATTAAAGAAATAAAATGAAATATGAAATATTAAAGTAACTCTGTTGGACTTCTTCTTTTTTAAACTTGCCTTTAAATAAACAGACGACATCTGAACATGCACTTGAAATATAATTCGAAAATTTAATTGCTCGACACCCGACACGATGATATCCATTGAAGAGTTTGGGGTTCACACTATAAAATTATGTTCAACCAGTTCAATATTTATTATGTTATATCAGCTTTATATCTATTATTGAAGTTTAATGGTCGTAAATAAGTGTGTGATGTAAAACCCAGATTTTATGAGATGACTTATAATGAAAAACAGTATTTGTTTCTGTATTTACTGTGGCAAAAATTTGATAAAAAGTGTAAATTCATTGAACGTCCAAGCATGAAATGGAGTAGAAATCTGTATGTAATTTGATTAAAATCTGTATGTAATTTGATTATAATTTGTATGTAATTATGCGGTATGTAATTTGAGGCTAGATTTAAAGTTTTGGCTTCGCCACTGATGTCTTTTGTTGAAAATGAAACTCCTACATTTTTCATAAACTTATCAGTGGCAATAAAATTTACATTGCAAATCCACTTCATGAATTTTCAAATGGTTATTTCAAAGTCAATAATTGTTTCTGTATTTCCAGCAAGGAAAAAAAAAGTACAAGATGAGATCTTTCTACCATATTTGACAATGGCGTCCACCCTGTAATATACGACATGCTCTACAACGTTCCAAACGTGAACTGTATTACGTAATATGGGTAAGTTAATTAGACGTTGCTGTAAACTAAATTCGAGAAAATACGAAAACCGTAAAGACCCAAAGAAACTAGAATTTCCTAATACGCGGAATTGAGACACAAAATTTTTTTTCCAATTATTTTAAAAAATAAAATTTATATCATGATTGATTCTAGGTTCGAAAATTGAACCTCTGGTATCACTCGAATCAAAAATATGTATTCTAAACGAATTACAAAATCTAATGTCTTATGAGACTTTTTTTTTTTTTTTTTAATTTTGCATGCCAATTAAGGAGGGCTTTTCTTTTTATCATTATAAGCAAAGTTAAAAGTGGAAAAAAATGCCAAATAGATGTATAATAGAGTTTCTATAGCACTTGCATTTGTTGAGTTAATATAGGTTAATATTTTGGGCAGTTGCAGGTTAAAAAGGGAAGATTTAATTTTGCATGTAAATTATGTGAAAATATAATAAATTTTTTTAATTATTTTCTTTATACAATATTTGTCTAAAGTTTGAACTAAGAAGTTCTTTTGTCTTGCATCGTCAGTGTTTTTTTATTTAAAAGCAAAAACCATGGTACTAAAAAGCCATTAAAAAAAGTCTTAATCCCACCATCAAATGTTTCATACAGTGTGCTTTAAACAAAATAATTTTTTAAATCATGCTCTATAAGTATATTTAGGAGTATATTAGTATTTTTTAAATGAAATGACGCGTGTTTTTCCTTTTATTAAGCAAGTTATGAATTAAATGAATTCTGACAAACAAAAAATGCAACAAAAATTATTAAATGCCCGGTTTACGATATTTTTCACATAATGCATGCATCTTAGGGCCAAGATTAGTTTTCTTTTACTATTTTTTCTTTTAAATGTTATAAAATTATTTTTAGGTATTTTTTGAAAATATGATCCACATTCTTTCGATAAAACCAATTTCAAACGTATCAATTAAGAAATTTATATATCTCCCATATAACATTTTCTATCAAAAGCGTAATATAGCATGTTTTGGAAAAAAATGTTTTTTTTTAAAAAATTTTCTCTGAGTATTTTTAGTCAGGTATGGGTGCTTTTTTTCACGTCCATTGCTTCTTCAATTTTCTTATTTTTTTTTAAAGTTTTTCTCAAAATTTGTAAATGGTGATTTCGATAGCAAATTTGGTTTTTGTTTTGGACATTTTTTTAAAAAATTTACCATAAAAATTTCGTTTCAGGTACAGGTTTGGGAACATTTGGAAAACAGGTTGTCCATTCTTCCATAAGTGAATTCCACAGTGCAAAACTTTATTAAAAAAATTATAAACTGTCCACCATGTGACATTTTCCACTTAAGATTTAATATAGCGTAGTTTGGACAAAAGAATTTTTTTTAAATGTTCTATAAATATTTATAGGCATATATAACCAAGTTTCTAGAAAGTATACATCCACTCTTTCCTATAAGGCCGATTTGAAACTAATCACGCTGTGAATTTTTTTTCAATTCATAAATTATCCCTCACACGTTATTTTTCTCAGGATGCTTCATTTTTGATGCGTTCTCCACATAAAAAATTGCCGAGGTAGTAGAATGTCTGAACGCGTGATTGTGCTGTTTAGAGTTCACGGTTCGTGTTTGGGGTCTTTCAAAGCGTTTTTTTTTTCAATATAAGTGTTATATTATTTTGGACTAAGAAGTGAGATATTTTTTCTGCTTAGCAAAGTATGATACTATACAATAAAAACTCATTTTCGGTTATGCACTCAAAATGCAGAGAAAACATGGAAAAATTACAGAACAATGAAAAAAGGGAAAAATAAAAATAAATATAATGATAAAATAGAAATAAATAAATACACAAGTGGGCGACCTTTGTGCTAAAATACAAACTAGGGTAAACAACGTTTAGGAGCACAAAAATATTTATAAATGCAGACAGCTGTTTCGGATGCTCAAAGTTGCTCCTGTGCACTGATGAAGGTTGCCCTTTGAGCATCCGAGACAGCTGTCCGCATTTAAAAATATTTTTGTGCTCCTAAACGTTGTTTACCTTAGTTTGTAATAATAGAAAGAATAAAAAAAAATCCGGAAAAAAATTTACGAAAGAAGGAAAAAAATGTATAAAAATCCGGAAAATAAAAGATATAATCTTTTCATCAGCTCACGCGATTATAT